GTATTTTTTTTTATTCCGAACCTATTATACATATTTTTTTCTTTATCGTCCTATTTATTCAATACTGTTCTATTCTGGAGGTTGACAAGGTTTTAATAGGACATCACGACATTGGCGATTATTCTTTACTTATTGGTTATTTGTTAAATCTCAATGGTAGATCCAGTGGCTTGTATCGTTTCAGTCGCTGTGTTGCTAGGCTATTGTCCAGAAGATTGACAGCTAATACGTTTGGATGTCTGTCTAGTCTATTTTGGTATCGACTACTGTTTTTCATAATTGTTTCCTCTACTGTTTCCATTTGAAGGTTCACATGAATTCTCCTGTTCGTAATATACCATGGAGCACCAATGATCTTCTTTGGCTCTTCGACTGGAATCTGTATTCCGAGCTGTATTCCGTATGTTCAGACGGGTTTTTAAAATTACTTTATAGAGTAATGTTTTCTTTCGAAATTGGTGGAAGACTCAATTTCCTGAACTTAATTTCGAGTTGATCTCTTTTTGCTTGGATGTGATCCTTCCAGGTCAATCTTCTATCTAGATGCATACCCAGATATTTAACTTTATTGGCAGCCGGGAATACAGACATAATTATAAAAAAAACGCGAATACTCTCTTCATGCGATTTTCGTACACGCAGAACAAATTTGGTACGAATTTTTTTTTTGTACTAATTCTGAGTTTCTTATAATTCCGTTTCTATATTTTACCGTAAAAATTATATGAGGGTTGAGCGTTGTTTAAAATTGGTAATGATAAATTGTTTACATACGATTAGAAATCTAGAAAGCTTGAAATTGCACATTAAATAATATTTTTGACGTTTACAACACTTGAAAAATTAATAATTAAAAGATTAAATATAATAATAATTTTTTATTTCTGTATATGTTTTTTTGTAGGACTGATGCAATAAAAATTATTATTATTAATAATAATTTTATACATAAAAGAGTTTGCCGTTTTGAAATAATATTGATTTGTAGTCTGCATAAACATTTTTTTTTTTATTAAAAACTACGTTACATAGAAAATATAGTGAATATTGTAAGACTAAAGTTTAATTTGAAAGTTGAGCAACTTTTTCCTGAATTAATGAGTCCTAATATCACCTTAAAGTCTATAGTTCGGTTATATATGAAGTTAATACTAAAATAAAATATTAATAAGTATATTAATATATATTTCTAATGCGTATCTTCTTTTTCAGCAACAACATGGAACACATGGAAGTGGTGCATATAATCGACGACGATGAGTTCGACATTGAAAAACTCATTGAGATAACTCCTAAATGTCAATGTGGTAAATATCGATGATAAATAACTTCCGACGGTTCGAATTTCTTACGATTTCTTTAAATTTTAGATCAACGTAATCGAATAAACAGATTGACAGAATACGATGTTTATTACACAAGATTGATATCTGCAAACCAATTAAGGTATTTATTCATATTCAAATAGATGACTTACACTCGTTTACGAACTTAACGCGCACAAGAAGAATGAAGAATCAAGATGAATACCGAATTTCGAAGAAGAACCCTACAGTTTTTGTTTCATATTAAATTTTCAATATTCTTGCATATTCAGAATACATTAATTTGCTTTACAATCAATCCAATATTAAATTAATATGACATATTCATGCATGCTAAAACTTATATTTCATAAACTTAGTTTATTTCTTATGATGGCCAAGAATTACGTTTTTACCTAATATTTGGACGACAGGTAACGTAGTATCCAATAAATTTTTTTTTTAAGTATAATACTTAATGGATGAGTCAATTATTTTTATGTAATCTTTGATTAAGTTTGTGATTTTAAATGTATTTGTTTACTTTTAGCTTGATAACTTTCGCACCATCAAAAGCTAAACACAATCAACATTTTCTTGATCAAATTATCCATGTAGTTGAGTTCCTTCAGAAATACAATAAGGAAGTTCATAAGGTATAGCAACGTAAATATTTTTGTCTGCGAGAAATACTGTCATAATTTTGTTCTTTAAGCTGTCGAGAAGTTACCCACATACTCTGGTGTTGATGAATTTTCTTGTTCAATACGTCGTGTTGGAGATGGAAATAATGAATATATTGGAAACGCCACTGGAGGATGTTGAACAACGGGTTATTGGGTTACTGGAGTATATGTTTTCGAGTGTGAAGAACCAAAAGTACATCATCCTGAAGATATTGATTAGAGCGAATCGCATCTTGAAAACGAAATACTTCTCAGACTTCATACGGTATTTGATATAATTTAACAAATATATTTACTTAATTAATTTATTTAAATAAATGATATAGGCCGTTGGACGAAGAATATACAAGGATAGTACAGGAGATAAAATGCTTTGCTTTGAGTCCACCATATAACATTGGCTCAATTTGGAGTAATAAAGAGTTAATACCTTATTTAGAGGATTATGGTTCTGACTACGAAGAGACTGACAATGAAGAAGATGTACGTTAAAATAACTTCGATTCGAGGATTCGATAATATATTCGTTATTTTTAGGTATTAGAGGATCTTCAAAGCCAAAGTAGACAACAGTCTAGGAAAAAATGTTATACTAAGAGAAAAAACGGAAGGCATAGGGCGAAAAGTGAATCTGAAAACGAAGTGGAAGAGGTGGCAATAATCCCGCAAATAATTTCATTGTCAGATGATGAAGACGTTGTGATGGATGTGGATGAACCAAATACGTCGGCAAAAGTCAACGCCGTAGAAAAGCCAATGGGACATGAAGTTACTGACGAAGCTATGGATACATTAGATACAAATGAAGAGGCAAGTAGTGACAAATTACCTTTACCTGATATTTTAAGTGTTGCAGCGACTATTCGCAATGACACAAGTAGTTCAACAGCGATACCTAAAACAAAACCAGTAAATTTTGAATTGCCGAAGGCAGTTGAGAATATTTCTGTTAAAGCAAACGCCATGCAAATTGATCTACCCTCAGAAAAAGATCAGTTAGTGGCTCATTGCTCAACAAAATTACATAACACAAACATTGAAATATTGCAACCAAAGACAGTGGACAAACAGAATTCTGTTAAAAACTTAACAGAAGAAACAGCAGGTAACGAGTCCAAATCTATGAAAAATAAAGAATTATCAATTAACTCATACTTCAACCGACTACAAAAATTGACAAAACATAATGTTGGCGCCAATGCTTCATCGCAACAAAGAAAGTCAGAGAAGAGACAAGAAGTTAATACAAAACAACCGGACGTCAGTACAAATAAATCAAACGAAACTGTGGTTAATAAAGAAAAGTCCAGTAACAATATTGTAAAAGAAACGACCGTTGTTAAAGATACAATTAAAAAAGTAATAAAAGATAGAGTTGAAGTTGCTAAGGTTACAACCCCTGAAGCAATAATACAGAAAAAATCAATAGTTAATAAACAAAAGTATAATACAAATCTTCCAAAAGAAACGGCCAAGAATTCCCCACAGTCAATTGTAAAAACAGGTGAAAAGAGAATGAGAAACGAAGAAGTTAATGTTACGATACAGACGAAAGAAGAAAATAATGACACCGACATTAATATGAATAAATCTATGCCAATGATAGTTGATAAGCAAAAGGTCTTTAAAAATAAGAATTTGATGCAACCAATTGTAAGGGCAGATGGAGAGACCGCTAAGAAAATGATAAAATTTAATATTGCTAATATAAAGCTTCCTCAAACAACGATGCATAACAATGAAGAAATATATGACAGCTTGATGATTGCAAAACCAGACTTGAAATTTAAACCACAGGCAGTTAACAATGAAAATACCACTCTTCCGAAAGAAACAGCAAATATTGGTAAAAATGTTTCAAAAGAAACAACTGATTTTCTTAAGAATATTCAAAAAGAAAGAACTGACGTTGCTTCGAATACACAACTGTTAGTGTCAAGAACAAGCGGCAAACAAGAAAACATTAAGAAAATGTCAAAAGAAATAGTTGATATTTCTAAGATAACGTCTCACCCAATCACGATACAGACGAAAACAGAAATTACTAAGACTTTAATGATTGAGAAACCGGACGTAAATACGAATAAATCTAATTTTCGGAAAGAAGCAGTTAATCTTGCAAAGAATTTACAAGAGACAATTAAAAGGACAGATATTAAACAAGTAACAAAAGAAAAAGTTGACGTTAAGACTACATCCCATAAAACAACGATAAAGACGAAACCAGAAATCCATGATACCGTAATGGTTGAAAAACCAGGCGTCAGTATGAGTAAATCTAAACCAGTGACAGCCGATAAACAGAAGACGAACAATGATTTTCGTAAAGAAACAGTTAATCTTGCGAAAAATTTACCAGAAACAATGGAAAGGGCAGATGTTAAACAAGTAAAAAGAGATAAAGTTGATGTTATTAAGGCTACATCCCATAAAGCAACGATAAAGACGAAACGAGAAATTCATGACACCTTAATGATTGAAAAACCGGTCCTCAATTTGAGTATATCTAAGCCAGTGACAGATTATAAACAAAAGACTAATAATAATTTTCGTAAAGAAACAGCTAATCTTGCGAAGAATTTACCAGAAACAATTAAAAGGACAGATGTTAAACAAGTAATAAAAGATAAAGATGATGTCGTTAAGGCTACATCCCATAAGGAAATGGTAAAGACGGTACAAGAAATTCATGACACCGTAATGATTGAGAAACCGGATGTCAAAATGAGTAAATCTAAACTAGTGGCAGATGATAAACTAAAGACTAACAATAATTTTCGTAAAGAAACAGTTAATCTTGCGAAGAATTTACCAGAAACAATTAAAAGGACAGATGTTAAAGAAGTAATAAAAGATAAAGATGACGTTGTTAAGGCTACATCCCATAAAGAAATGGTAAAGACTATACAAGAAATTCATGACACCGTAATGATTGAAAAACCGGACGTCAAAATGAGTAAATCTAAACCAATGGTAGATGATAAACTAA